CTTAATGTGCTATGTTATAAACAAACAACCTTGTGTAATATCTTACATCTGAATGCGCAACATCCAATATCTCTTACATCTGAATTACAAAATCATGTATACAGTATTATGCAATGATTGAACATAAGAGCTGAATTGTAACCTATTTACTGGTGCTGCAACAAATAAAGTCAAGGCTCAGGGCCCTAATGTGGATTCAATGTCACTTTGGTATCTCAAAGGACAGTGCTTTACCCTAAAGCCTGAAACCGCAGTCAAACTCTCGGACTTGAATTTATTTGAAAGCTGCAGGGTGAGTTGAGGAATTATTGAAGTTGAAAAGAATGCATCACCTGCTCTCTCAGCATCAAACAATAGCTCACTAAAATTATAGTGTGAAAACCTTCCTAGCAACACGACTTGAACCTGAAACTCCCCGCTCAAATGGGAAATCCAATTAATAACGCCAACCAAAATTCTCATTTCTATATCCTCAATCTAAAGAGGAGATTTTTTCCCCCCAATATAATGGAAGATGATGTCCAAAACGGGTGAATATGAAATGAAAGACTGTTAATGGTGAAAATCTAAATATAATGAGAAAATTCTGAAAATACAAAGGAAGTCAATCAGCACTTGAAAGGGACAGAAATGTAAATCTTTGAGTACGGCTCTTTCTTAAAACTAACCTTGACCAAGGGTTGGATCTGCAATTTTTTTTTTTGCAGTGGTTTGGTACGCACTGCCTGAAAGGCTGGTGGGAACGGATTCAATAACGACTTTCAAAAAGGGAATTGGATAGGAACTTGAAAAGGAAAAAAACTTGCAAGGATACAGGGAAAGAGTGGGGGAGCGGGACCGATTGGGCAGCTCTTCCAAAGAGCGGGCACGGGCCCGATGGGCCGAACGGCCTCCTTCTGTGCTGTAATATTCTACGATTCAAATTTTAAATGGTCTGTCGCACAAGTGAACGACATGTTAAAAATGTGTCTAAGATATTGCTGGACAGACATCGCCACACTGGGCTTGGCACAGACAGACATTATAACTAATAATAATAATAATAATAATAATCCTTGCATTTGATATAGCGCTTTTCACGTCAGGAGGACGTCCCAAAGCGCTTCACAGAACACACTGTAAAGTGAATTGACTGTATATTTGTGGGCGAACGCGCAGCCAATTGCGCACAGCAATGTCCCACAAACAGTCGTAGATTGAAAATGACCAATTTATTATTGTTTTGGGAATTGGAGATTATTATTAACTAAGCACCCAAACAAGAGCCCATGAAATATACAGTCAATTCTGTGAGCCACTGTCTCACCTCTCAGGCTGCTGAAACCCTCACCTACCCATTCGTCACATCGAGGCTCGATTACGAGAACTCCCTCCTCATCGGCCTTCCCAACTCTTCCCTTCACAGGCTGCAGATCATCCAAAACTCTGCAGCTCGTGTCCTCTCGTGCACCAGGCTCCGCGACCCCATCGCCCCCACCCTCGCCCGACTCCACCGGCTCCCCATCCCCCAGAGGATCGAGTTCAAGATCCTCGTCCTCACTTTCAAGGCCATCCATGTCCGTGCCCCCTCCTACCTCTCTGTCCCAAGGCGCTGACTCTCAGCGCCTTGGGACGTCCTTCCGACGTGAAAGGAGCTCTGTAAATGGAATCTTGTTGTTGTTGTTGTTGTTGTTGACCTGCTGACTCTCTACCAACCCGCCCGCTCCCTCCGTTCAGCGGGCTCCTGCCTGCTCCATGTCTCCCGCCCGACCCGCCCTACCATCGGTGTCCGGGCTTTCACCCTCTCTGCCCCCACACTCCGGAACGCCATCCCGCGGTCCCTTGGCCTCGCTCCCTCCCTCGCCTCCTTCAAGGCCGGTCTCGGGACCCTTCTCTTCGACCGTGCCTTCGGTCGCCCTCCCACCTCTCCGCCTTCGCTCACCCCTACACCACCCCTCCCCCACGCTCGGGCCCCGACACCTGACTGCCCAGGGATTTGGGACGTGTGTCCCCCCCCCCCCCCCCCCCACCCCGACCCCCACCCCCGACGTGAGAGGCGCTCTATAAATGTAATTTCGTTCTCGTCGTCGTTGAGTGCCGAGGGCTTTGGCGACGTCTCGAAGACGTGATCAGGGGCCGTATCAAACGCGAGGCTTATCATCCTCATTATTATTATTATTATTATTATTATTGCTGTTGTTGTTGTTGTTGTTGTCATGAAGTATTACTGTAAGAGGGGAGTGAGCGATGGGAGTGGAGGGGGTTTCAGGCTTCACAGCTGATCGCCGAGGCCCCGCCTCCCAGGGGGGCGTGGTTTGGGGGCGGGGCCGGTGGCCAGCGGCGTCGGTGATTGGACGGCAGGCGGCCAGTGGGCGGGGCGAGAACGGGGGGAAAATGCTATAAAGACGGGCGGCCGCGGCAGCAGCAGCTCGTGGTGCTCCGGGGACTGAGGCTGCAGGTCAGAGCTGCGCTGCACTGCGGTCCTGCCTCCACTCAGCCTCCCCCCTCCATACACTCAGCCTCCCCCCTCCATACACTCACATTCCCTCCATACACTCAGCCTCCCCCCTCCATACACTCAGCCTCCCCCCTCCATACACTCAGCCTCCCCCCTCCATACACTCACATTCCCTCCATACACTCAGACCCTCCATCCACTCAGATCCTCAGCCCCTCCATCCACTCAGACCCTCCATCCACTCAGATCCTCAGCCCCTCCATCCACTCAGACCCTCCATCCACTCAGATCCTCCATCCACTGAGACCCTCCATCCACTCAGACCCCCTCCATCCACTCAGCCCCTCCATACACTCAGCCCCCCCATCCACTGAGACCCTCAGACCCTCCATCCACTCAGACCCTCCATCCACTCAGACCCCCTCCATCCACTCAGACCCTCATCCACTCAGACCCTCCATCCACTCAGCCCCTCCATCCACTCAGACCCCCCATCCACTCAGACCCCCCATCCACTCAGACCCCCTCCATCCACTCAGACCCCCTCCATCCACTCAGACCCCTCCATCCACTCAGACCCCCCCCTCCATCCACTCAGACCCCCCCTCCATCCACTCAGACCCCCCCTCCATCCACTCAGACCCCCCCTCCATCCACTCAGACCCCCCCTCCATCCACTCAGACCCCCCCTCCATCCACTCAGACCCCCCTCCATCCACTCAGACCCCCCCTCCATCCACTCAGACCCCCCCTCCATCCACTCAGACCCCCCCTCCATCCACTCAGACCCCCCTCCATCCACTCAGACCCCCCCTCCATCCACTCAGACCCCCCTCCATCCACTCAGACCCGCCCCCTCCATCCACTCAGACCCCCCTCCATCCACTCAGACCCCCCCTCCATCCACTCAGACCCCCCTCCATCCACTCAGACCCCCCTCCATCCACTCAGACCCCCCCTCCATCCACTCAGACCCCCCCTCCATCCACTCAGACCCCCCCTCCATCCACTCAGACCCCCCCTCCATCCACTCAGACCCCCCCCTCCATCCACTCAGACCCCCCCCTCCATCCACTCAGACCCCCCCTCCCATCCACTCAGACCCCCCCTCCATCCACTCAGACCCCCCCCTCCATCCACTCAGACCCCCCCCTCCATCCACTCAGACCCCCCCCCTCCATCCACTCAGACCCCCCCCCCTCCATCCACTCAGACCCCCCCTCCATCCACTCAGACCCCCCCCTCCATCCACTCAGACCCCCCCCTCCATCCACTCAGACCCCCCCCTCCATCCACTCAGACCCCCCCCTCCATCCACTCAGACCCCCCTCCATCCACTCAGACCCCCCCCTCCATCCACTCAGACCCCCCCCTCCATCCACTCAGACCCCCCCCTCCATCCACTCAGACCCCCCCCCCTCCATCCACTCAGACCCCCCCTCCATCCACTCAGACCCCCCCCTCCATCCACTCAGACCCCCCCTCCATCCACTCAGACCCCCCCTCCATCCACTCAGACCCCCCCCTCCATCCACTCAGACCCCCCCCCTCCATCCACTCAGACCCCCCCCTCCATCCACTCAGACCCCCCCCTCCATCCACTCAGACCCCCCCCCTCCATCCACTCAGACCCCCCCCTCCATCCACTCAGACCCCCCCCCTCCATCCACTCAGACCCCCCCCCTCCATCCACTCAGACCCCCCCCTCCATCCACTCAGACCCCCCCCCTCCATCCACTCAGACCCCCCCTCCATCCACTCAGACCCCCCCCTCCATCCACTCAGACCCCCCCCCTCCATCCACTCAGACCCCCCCCCTCCATCCACTCAGACCCCCCCTCCATCCACTCAGACCCTCCCTCCATCCACTCAGACCCCCCCCTCCATCCACTCAGACCCCCCCCTCCATCCACTCAGACCCCCCCCCTCCATCCACTCAGACCCCCCCCCTCCATCCACTCAGACCCCCCCCTCCATCCACTCAGACCCCCCCCCTCCATCCACTCAGACCCCCCCCCTCCATCCACTCAGACCCCCCCCCTCCATCCACTCAGACCCCCCCCCTCCATCCACTCAGACCCCCCCCCTCCATCCACTCAGACCCCCCCCTCCATCCACTCAGACCCCCCCCCTCCATCCACTCAGACCCCCCCCTCCATCCACTCAGACCCCCCCCTCCATCCACTCAGACCCCCCCTCCATCCACTCAGACCCCCCCCTCCATCCACTCAGACCCCCCCTCCATCCACTCAGACCCCCCCTCCATCCACTCAGACCCCCCCTCCATCCACTCAGACCCCCCCTCCATCCACTCAGACCCCCCCTCCATCCACTCAGACCCCCCCTCCATCCACTCAGACCCCCCCCTCCATCCACTCAGACCCCCCCCTCCATCCACTCAGACCCCCCCCTCCATCCACTCAGACCCTCATCCATAGCAACCTGTCCTCTACCCTGCAGCAGCCTGTGAAACCCTCTGTGTGTGTGTGTGGGGTGGGGGGGAGAGGCTACAAACCAGGACACTAACGCATTCTTCACCCACCCACCCACCTCCTCCTCCTTTGGTGGCGATTGACTCCTGTGGTCTCGGATTTCTTCACTGCCCGCGGGTTTTGTGGCAGGTAAAGCAACTCAGTGCAGTTACTGATTTATCACTGCATCTGACTCTTTCTTCCTTTCTTTTGCAGCGAATTAACGTGACGGTTGTATGTTAGGATGTGAAGAGGAGAAGCACCTTATCTGGCTGTAATAGAAACGTTGGCTGTAATAGCATTCCCCGGCTACCCCCAACCAACCCCTTTGCGTTGACTTGTGGTTTGAAGAGTCGATTGTGATTTTTTTTGTGTTTTTTAAAAAAAAGGGTAAAACCTCTGAAATGTAGACTATGCTGTTTTCAAGAGCAGGACGTTGGAAAGAGTTTGGTCAAGCGCAGGCTCTTGTGTTGACTAGTCTGGGATCTTTCAATACTGAATTCTTATGATTTTATAGAAATATATCTATATATCTGTTATTTATTTTTTTAAAAATTAAAGCCACAGGTTACTTTGCTGCAAGCTGAGCGAAAGTCTCTATTTAGTTGGCAATCAAATGTAGATGTGATATTATTCTAACAATTTATCTGGTGGGGAAATGGGTTTGTCCACGTCTTGATTCTCTCTCTCTCTCTCTCTCTCTCTCTCTCTCTCTCTCTCTCTCTATCTCGAGATTTCATCAGTTGATTAATCGCTTTAAACTTAGATCTTGTCAAAGTATATCGTCCGAACACCCATCATCAGAAATCTGCAGTTGATAGAATGATGGTCAGCACATTGCATTGCAATACTGTTGGTCTCTGGCGGAGAAATGCAGGTTTAAAACACATGTAGGGAAACATGGAACTAAAAGCACCTTCAAGGGGGAACTCAGAAGGGTGTCGCTCTGTCTTGCACATTCTGAATTCGGGAGTGATTTTGACGGTGGAGATGACCCCAAGGAAGGAAGGCAGGGTGAAGGCATTAGGATTAAGTTAGCCTTCTTTATCTCATTTATGATCTTGGGGCTCCGGGAAATGCATAACTTTTCTAACCATTATCTCAGCCACAGGTCTGCTCAATAACAACAGTGAGAATAAGTGTCAGCAACACATCTTAATAATCCTCAGGTCGGAGACTGACCTGTCATTCATTCCTGTGAATGAGTAGCTGTTCTGTTGTACATGCACAACTTTTTTTTTTAGTCTCTAGATTCATTCGATCCGCTTTCAGAAGATTAAATAAAAAGTTTTATTCTAAGTTTGCTTACACATAAGCAAGGTGATGGGTTTCCGCATGTGTCAGACACCCGGCTAACCAAAATAAATAAAGAGATCTTGACTAAATTACTGTATATGTGCAATTTTGCATGGTGCAATGTTAATTTTTACCTGTAGGTGTTTGTGAAGCGCTGTGCAAATGCTTTATTGACGAGTGTTCCTTCACCCAACAAGTTAGACCTGGAATCAAAATCTTCTGCTGTTTGGGAAATTGATGGTAGTTTCGTCTTGTCTTTCTACCGAAAGAACCCGAGAAGCAAGATAGAAATCTCTACTAATTGAGCCAAGAAATTTATCAGTAAGGTTAATACAACATCTGTTTTTTTGTGTGGTCATTTTGATCCCATGCAATATTTCTTATAACTAAGGGTTAAGAGAATCTAATGATTAAAGTTGGACATTGAGATCAGTTGTAGATTGTTTTTAAACAGAGGAATTCTGATTGCTAGTGAGCAGGGCAGCTGCTCATCGACCTGTTCTTTAAGTCTGTGTTTTTAGATCCAATAGCCATCAATATATTTTTGATCCTAGAAATAGATAATGTTATCATGTGTTTTGAGACGAGGTTCTGGCTGAGATTTGGCATTGTGGTAGAGTCCTGTAGCTCAGTGGTTAGAGCACGCGCCTCGCAAGCAAGCGACCTGGTAGGGCGAAACCTTGGGCAAGTTTCCTTACTCCACACGTCCGATAATAATCCTTCAAAAAAAAAAAACAATGATAAAAAATTGGTCACTTCAATCCACGACTGTTTGTGGGGACGCTGCTGTGCGCAATTGGCTGCCGCGTTTCGCCCACAAAATATACAGTCAATTCACTTCACACTGTATCCTGTGAAGCGCTTTGAGGCGTCTGGAAGACGTGATAAGGCGCTGTATCAAATGCAAGGATTGTTATTATTATTATGAATTAAACTTAGTAATAGTTCACAGTTGGCATTGACCCCACAGGAGCTGTCCAACGTCTCGGTGCTGAAGTCCACTTCGCTCTCTTCCCTTTCGCTTTAATCAAATCAAAATGTGCTTGAGCAGATACAGGCTCTGAGTCAGTCGAGCTTCGCATACACATTACCATCAATTATTGAAACCGGCCTTTTATATTGAATTGCCACCGCGTGTCCCTGGGAGGGTTTGAGAGCGTCTAGCGGAGTTGGCGCCTGTGTGTTTAGTGAAAATGAGTTAATTTATGAAAGTGTGTATGTGTGAGTCGGTGTATGGATGTGTCTGTATATTTATTTATTTGTGTGCGTGTGTTTTGTAAGTGTGAAAGTTTGAATAGGTTTGTGTATATTTCTGGGAGTATCTGCCTGTGAATGCCAATATATGGACATATATATATATTTTTGAGGGCGAGTTAGTGGGTGGTCATCCATGAATGTATCTGTTTGAGTGTGTGCGTGTGGGATGGAGGGCGTGTGGGATGGAGGGCGTGTGGGATGGAGGGCGTGTGGGATGGAGGGCGTGTGGGATGGAGGGAGTGTGGGATGGAGGGAGTGTGGGATGGAGGGAGTGTGGGATGGAGGGCGTGTGGGATGGAGGGCGTGTGGGATGGAGGGCGTGTGGGATGGAGGGCGTGTGGGATGGAGGGCGTGTGGGATGGAGGGCGTGTGGGATGGAGGGCGTGTGGGATGGAGGGCGTGTGGGATGGAGGGCGTGTGGGATGGAGGGCGTGTGGGATGGAGGGCGTGTGGGATGGAGGGCGTGTGGGATGGAGGGCGTGTGGGATGGAGGGCGTGTGGGATGGAGGGCGTGTGGGATGGAGGGCGTGTGGGATGGAGGGCGTGTGGGATGGAGGGCGTGTGGGATGGAGGGCGTGTGGGATGGAGGGCGTGTGGGATGGAGGGCGTGTGGGGTGGAGGGCGTGTGGGGTGGAGGGCGTGTGGGGTGGAGGGCGTGTGGGATGGAGGGCGTGTGGGATGGAGGGCGCGTGTGGGATGGAGTGAGCGTGTGTGTGTGGGGGTGGGGGGGTGCGGAGGTGGCAGAGTGAGTATGGTGCTCTGTGCTTTAGTGGAGGCATCAGGTTGCGAGCCTCATTTATTCTGGTTCAAAAGCCCCCCACCTGCCCTGCCCACGCAAGTCGTTTTCAAGGGTAGTTTTAGTTTTTACTTAATATATTCAAACTATTCTGATACCATTTGTGTCATTTGAACAGAGGGAACCGTGTAAATAAATGGCAGTTGTCATTGCCACATTTGTCCTTTATTTTTGTCCTCGGAGTAGAAACCGAGTTAACATTTCATATTTATTTCGGTTTCGGGCGTCTTTTAGACCACGGTTCAGATGCGCTCGCAGAACAGTCCGCCTGTGATGGACACAACACAAGTGCTTCACCTCCGTGTTGACACATCTTGGTTCCTGGCTGTGGTTCCTCGAATCAGAGAGACATGATTTGGAAAGCGCTAAGTCACAAACTCTCCGCCCATTTGTACCCACTTCACTCTCACACACACATACACACAAAAACTTATTATAACAATGATCTGCGAAAGATTTCCCCCCCACCCTCCACCCCTCACCTGTATATACACATTTTAAAGTATTTATGTTTTTAAAAGGCGAGTATTGACTGGGATAATGTTGCCGTTACTCGAATAAGATGGTGCTCAGTCACAAGAGCCTTTAGTGTCTCCGACATTGCAAATGGAATTGTCCTTTCAATTGATTAAGGCCTTTGTAATTGGATGTCGCAACAGAAAGGTGCTAAATAGCAGCAGCTAATCGGGATTTTCAGACATTTCTACTGCACTGAATATTGCATTCACGCATTCAGGCTTTCTGCAGTACTAGAAAGCACTAGAGAGAAATGCTCTCGCTGTCAACGTATTTGCACAGAGGTCAGGATTTCAGCATTGTTGGGAGAGATCTTAATTTTGCAAAATAAATAACGAAGTTGACACATGCATTTTTGGAAGTAACTGTTTATGTAAAAAACGGTAGCAAATCTATTTTCATGAATTCACAAATGCACAACAGTGCACCTAAATCATGTGAAGCTGTTTATTATCGCTTGGAACTATTATTGAGGAAGAAATGTCACCTAACTTGTTGGCTCCTCTCTCTCACTCTATCCTCCACCAAATAAAATCTAAGTGTTTTTTTTAAGCACTTTTTCATTAATAAAACTGTAGCTCTATTTGGCGTTGGAAATTGTACTTGAATTGAATAGCTAAAGTAATGAAACAAAAATTCCCCAAACTATCCTTGCAATTAAAAAAAAACAATTGGAAACTGAAGGAAACGAATCATGTTCAATATATGGATCCGCTCAACTTTATATTTAATTAATAGAAAATAATTCTCAATAGATTGCAGGGAACATTGTAATTTCCATTGCAGTTATAGTTATTATTAAAGCATTAGACCAACCAGAATATCCAACTGCTTTTCTTCACAGAACATATTGAAGGCATCTCATTGCCAACAGAAATCAGACTGCAAAACCTGCAAGTAATATCAACAGCTGCGTAAATAAAATTATCTTATGAAACTGTTGGCTATGAGAGTTAGTTCTTAAGATAGAGTGATTTGTTTTAAAAAAAGTTAGTGACCAGTAACTATTTTAAACAAACTTAATGATTTCATTGGATAACTTATTGCAAAACCCCAAAATGTTTAAAAAGCAGAATTCTCTTTCGATTGAAGTATTAGTATTGTAATAATAGCAATAACCCTTGCATTTGATACAGCACATTATCACGTCTTCAAGACGTCTCAAAGCGCTTCACAGAATATACTCTACAGTGAATGGACTGTATATTTTGTACAGTATGTTTAGCTTTATGCTAATGAAGATAACAAGGACAACCTTCTCCAAAGCCTCAATCAATGACACTTTGCTGCTACTAGAAGGACCTGAAAGTGTCCCAAGATAATTCTGTTCCAATTTAAAACTATAATATGCTAACACGATAGCACTCTGCTAAGTGCCTCCCTAAAGTGAGGCATCCGAAATTCAGAGCTCCACATTTAGGAAACCATGGGCATAAAATTTCGTCTTACTTCTCAAAGGCACAGCGTATTGATGTCACTTTGTGCCTCCTCATGATAATGTAGCTGAGATTTGGAGCTCACTGTATTAGTAGTCAAGAATATGAACCTTCACTGTGTAATTTCACAGCACATCATCACCTTGATTGACACTTTAATGTACAAATGACAAAGTTACGACTGAATAATTAGGTTTTAATTACAAATAGCACAAATTCTATATTCCGCACCTGCCCAGCACATATATTCAGTAAGTGCCCTAAAAGGCTTTTGAGCACACAATCATCAATAATAATGCTGGCATTTGATATAGGTCCAATTAAATTTTTATTCTTAATTTGAAAGACGATTCTTTTTAAGAACTGTAGAAAACTGCGTCAAATTAGACTGAAGTGAAGAATTTTCTACAATTCTGCCCAATTGTAAATTTTATGAGAAAATAGTCAAAAGGGCTAACCATGTAACAGAATCTCAACATTCAGGTACCTTATCACAACATTAAAAACAAAACAATTGTCCAAAGTACAAGGATAGAATGACTATCTTTTGTTCTGATGTCATGAGCATTCCCATTACCTTGTGATAACTGTTTGAGCCTAGTTATGATAGTTTTCTTATGTTTAGGTTTCATAAATCCCAAAGGGCATAAAATATCAAGGTAACTGGACTCTCGGAGCTGTCATTAACTATTCAAGTGGCGTTAATATGACAACTGGCCTCTGAAGGCACACAGTATCAGTTCTTAAATGAAATATTAAGACATGATGTTGCTGACATTTTTATATTTAAAAACATTTTTTTGCAAGGAATCCGAATGTGTGACAGTTATCTTCTTTCTGACAGGGTGATCCAATGAAGTCCAGTGGATTGTGGTGCTTTCTTTTCTTGCTTGGAATATGCTTGTTGATGGCTGAAGGATGGTTAGAAAGAAAAGCCACTGGAAAGCAGCCACCTGGAGACAGACAGGAGGTAAGAAACGGTGTTTTATTTCAGTTGTTCATCGACACATAATCTACATTCGCCAGAAACAATCTGTGGAAAACACGATTGCGACAGAAATACGCCACAAATTCGGACTTGAACGATTGTTTCAAGGGATCAAAGAGAAAATTTATTTTTACTATTATATTTAATTGTCGGTGGTTTTGAAGAATTATTAAAGAGATGTAAGGTTTACAATCTAGAAATAAGCTGTTACGGTAATGAAGGTTTGATGGACTTTTCTTATCTCCTTTAGATTGCCATTCTAATGCACTGCTTCATATCGCAAAATATTGAATTGAATTAACAAAGTAGATATGTGAAGCAGATACAATACAAAATTACACTTGTATAGCCCTTTTCATGTTGGGAGGACGTCCCAAGTTGCTGGACAGTCAGGGATTTGGATCCGAGCTGGAGGTTGAGATCAGGGAGGGTGGATGGTAGGAGGTGGCTGAAGGCTCGGTCGAAGAGGAGGGTTTTAAGATGCGCCTTGAAGGAGGCAAGGGAGGGAGTGAGGCGAAGGAAATGTGGGATGGAGTTCCATAGGCTGGGGGCAGAGAGGCTGAATGCCCGGTGGAGAGGGCCGGTTGGGGCACGTGAAACGGGCCAGAGCCTGCTGAGCGGAGGGAGCGGACAGGTTGATGTAGGGTCAGCAAGTCGCAGAGGTAGGGAAGGGTAAGGCTGTGGAGGGCCTTGAAGGCAAGGACGAGGATTTTGAACTCTGAAAGATGATTGTCAACACATCCTTGTGATCCTGTGAAATTACTGTGTAAAATATCATAGGAACAAGTGACCTCCAGCAGAATTAATAGGTCCTTTCCCACTATTGCCAACTAAAATCATTGCAGTCTCCCCTACAGTTGTACTTTCAGGATGAGTACATGTGGACTCAATATATTGTACAGTAGAGGGAGCACTACAGGAAAAGATATCCCATCAAAATGCCATTGTCAATATGTTCTCCAATTAAGAGTTGGGGGGATTGATCTCTGGAGAGAAAAAAAACATGTAAATAAGCAGTTCTTGGAAATCCTATCCAGTTAAGTAGCTTGGCAGCACATGAAAAATCATGGAGAAAATTGGTACTTCAAAGTCTTGTGAAATGTAGTGGGAGGTACTTTATGGAGAAATCCATAATGCTCACAGATTTCAAAGAATATGATCTATTTTTCTTTAAAAGATGAGTTCATCATTGTGCATTGTAATTATTATAAACGCTTAGAAAACAACAATGCAATGTTCGTTCGTCTCTCATTCTGGTAAATTACTGTGCTTTTTTTTTACAATACATGTACAACGTGTATAAACTACATAATGCCACTGCAATTAGATATGGCATTATGTTCCAAGATTGCAAAGAAACATTTAATCCTCCAATAAATTCCTTTCCATATTTTGTGAGCAATTCATTGAGGTGAAAGATTCAAGGTAAGGAAGGCATATGAAATTGGAGCACATGACTTAGGAAGATGAATAGAATACGACGACAACTTGCATTTATATAGCGCCCTTCACACGAGGTAGCGGCACTTAATATACAAAATATATCAGAATCGTATTGTTCACTGAGTCTTGGAAACAATGTTCTTAGTTTTTAGTGATTGAAGGAGCACGACAAATACATGTAGCTCACAAATGATGTAATTGCTATACGGTGGCCTCACGACCAATATGCAGCTGAAGTTCCATTAAGAAAATCTGTTTGCATTACCTGGTGGAAAGTTTGATGCTGTATTGGTCGTCCATCAAATTTAATTGCTCAAAACGTTAGGTTTCGGGAAATGCATGTTGGCGAGAGCACTCGAGTTTAGAGAAGAACTTACGAGCCTCCAGAGAATTCTTTTTAAACGCTCAGGCTTCTTATTGCTATGAAAACTTTCAATCAGGTCTCCTGCTGATTTCCAGAGAGTCTCAAAACAGCTTAAGAATCAATCTGGGCTGGAGGAAACACAAGCGATTTGGGGTGTAGAATTAATTTGTGTAGCGTTCTGGTATCCTGTGGGCCTGGATTGGTTCTGGGGACAGTTTAAAGTTTCATCCCTCTCTCTTCACTTCCTATTTCCGGGAAACTGCTCCCCATCGAAGAAGCTGAGAGTCAAAATCTCCTGGGCCTTGGGACTTTTCCTTCTATAAATGTGGAATTTCCCCAAACAAAAACATCTTCTTTGAATGTATTTTTTTTAAACTAAGGTTTTACATCTCGAGACAGGTTATTAGTGGAGCCTGGTGGGGAGAATATATGAACTGGGGACTTCCTGATGGCTTGGACCTGGTGGAGATTGCAGTTCAGGAAGCCCGAAAGCAGGGCTGGAGTGGGCAGAGATGTGGGTTTTGTCTGTGTTGGGGTTGAAGCAGTGGACAGAGGCAGGCAATGATGTGGAGATAGAGGAAAGCCGTCTTCGTGAGAGTCGAGCTAAAATGAAACAGCTGGAAATTGAACATAGAAAGTGTGAATTGAAATTGTTTCAGAATTCTTAATCTAACAGGGGATATCGATTGTACTGGAGGGCTTTAGAGAAGAGCTACTTCAGGACTAACAAGTAATTTCAGGTCAATGATGACCTAAACCTTTTTTTTTGCTAGAAACATTGCGACAAATTCTTGGTCACTGCTGCAACCCTCAAAGAATATATTTGAAACAAACTGTAGGAAACTGTTATTTATTTAGTGAGAGCATTCCCTCAGCTTTGCTTCATTTTTTTGTTAGTGAACTATCAATGTATTCTATTGACCAGTTCCAATATTCACTCAAACCTGACCAGTGTGGGCTACTAATGAGAATAAGGTGGGCGTTCTGGAGGGATGAGATCTGATGGGTTGGAGGGTCTTCTTTGTCCAACAACAAATGATATTTGTTCCAAAACGCTGGACAGTCAAGGATTTAGACCCGAGCTGAGGGTTGGGATCAGGATGCGTGGAAGGTAGGGAGGGTGGGTGTAGGAGGATGACCGAAGCCACGGTTGAAGAAGAAGGTCTTGAGACGGGCGAGGGAGGGGGCGAGGTGAAGTGACTGTGGGATGGAGTTCCAAAGGGTGGGAACAGAGGAAACAGTCAAACACTACAATGCTAACTGGCTGATTTATGCATGTTAAAGGGAATGGATATTGTGGAGTTTTCTTTTCTTATTTTGAGTCTCGCGGAGAAATTATTCAGCATGTTCTCTCAAGAGACTAAATAACTTGGATTGAAGCTGTGAGGGGAAATTGCACGTGGACTTTAGAAGGACTGAGCTTGATAGCCCAATGGCCTGTTTTAATTCCATGCTATCTCATGCTCTTGTGTTGGATAGTTTGAATGGTTGTTGTCATCAGAATATTACTATTCTTACTTGATTTTATGTCACTTATAAATTATTAAATCTAGCATTCCTGTTTGATTTTTTAGAAGGTAGTTATGGAATTGTGTGTGAAATCATTTCTGTGTTTGGAAACACAATCACAGTATTAGAATTTATGTGTATCTGATGTCTTCGTAAGATCATTACACCTGAACATCATGGAAATTCAGATTGAAAGCAGTTATTCAACGTATGGTATATGACTTATGGTTATGTACAGATGTGTATAAAGCTACAGAAAGATAATTTGGGAGGTAGGTTTTTTTAATGATGCAACAAAAATATAATGCAGTGATAGTTACAAATATTTAGCCATCCGTTAAGAAACACATTTATCCTTTTTAGCATGTTAAACACAATTACCTTGGCAGCAGTTACTTTCCACAGGAGCAACAAAGAAGGCAGATTATTGATCAATGTCATAATGGGCACAAATTGTCTGCTGCATTTGCCACACAAAATAAGCAGTCACTACACTCTACAATAAGTCTCGTGAATCACGTAAATATGTTTGGACGACGTGATAAGGCGCTATGGGACATCAAATGCAAGCTTTTTTATTATTTTTATTTTTTTACTTGTGAGAAATGTGTCGGTTGGAACGTAGCAATTGAATTTGCAGCCTACTAAAAGGTATTTATTTTAGGTTGTATGAAAGTGACTGTGACGGTTGTTTGTACGTTTCAAAGGGTTTCCTACCATTTAGCCTTACAGCGTGCATTTAAACTAATTAATGATAACGTAAAACAGTCAAGAAAATATTAGGGCTGTTATTTCTGCATTCCCATGAGGCTTACACATCTATTAATAAACATTATAGATTCAGTTACAGGAATATGAATATTACTCTGCTTATTACCTTTTCGACATGTTGTGAGTGTCTGGGAATGTCTCTGCTGAAATCAGTTGAGTAATTTGCCCTAAATAACATAACACCTGGGACTTATTAACTTTCAGTTGCAGAAATCTATTACAATTCAATGAGTTTGATACCTTCTTTATTACCTTTCATTCACCTGGCTTGTAACCTCTCAAAATATTAGGGCCTAATGAGCACAAGTCAACCTGTTGCAATGCAATAAACTACAATACACTGGAGGTAACCTTTATGAAATGGCAGCTTAAATTCGGAAAAAACTGATCCATACAGCGTGACCCAACATAAACTCCAACCACCAACAATACAGTGGAAAATTGCCGTTGATGTTAAGTGTATGCATTTGTGTGTATGTGGTTGTGGTGTGTGGGGGTGCAAAGTAACAGTCGAATCACTCTCCCAAGAGAAAGCTTTGATTAAGAAAAGCCAAGTGCAGTGAGTGCCAAGATATGCCAAGAGTGCCAAGTGATAGGCACATGATTTTATGAAATGAGACCCTTAGGAATATTGGAAGACAATACATGGAAGCAGCTTGTCTGTTCCATTTATTTGTGCCAGCGATCAGTCCAGTGGAACAACATAACAGATCCCCGGCAGCCCTGGGGATCGTCAGACGGGTTGTGAGACATTATTTCCTACTCTATTTTATATGATTTACTCAGTAGTAAATGTTTGATTTTAAATATGATTGAAAGTACCTGACATGATTTGAAGTGGGTCATCTTCATATCACGTCAGCTGTAATGCGCATTGCTCATCACTCCACTAATC